TGTGTGTGTGTGTGTGTGTGTGTGTGTGTGTGTGTGTGTGTGTGTGTGTGTGTGTGTGTGTGTGTGTGTTGATCACTCACTGAGGGAATATGACGATCTGGATAAAAGAGATGAAACAGAAGACCAGCAGAGTACAGGCCACGTAACCGCCAAAACGATCGTCTACCTTCTTAGCGTACTAGAAACAAAACAAGAAAATAAAATATTAAAATATGTTTGTTTACCAATCTGTGCCAAAAATGAATGCTGTGTGAGTTATTGTTGATTGCTAATGACTAACAACCACCCAAAAAACTCTGTTAACCTAATGACATGTTAAAAACTGCTTTGAACAACTCTGAAGAATTCAGTCTACTTTTCTTCTTCTTAAATACCAAACAGGAAATTGGAGGACATTTGATCTCTGATGATCTCATCCATCCTGTTAGTCTGTTAGACGATCAGCACTACTAAATTAAACTGGAAAGGGTGGGGAGATCGGGACGGGAAGCTGGATTTCAGCCAGCGTCTTTTGAGTCTGACCTTCTTCTCCAGGCTGGAGGTTTGGAAGGTGAGGAGGAACTTCTTCACGTGGTCTTTGCGGAGCTGGTCGATACTGCGAGCATCAATGGCACGGCCCAAAAACTCATCCACCTCGTCCTCGGGGTTCAGCGCCTCCTGAGCACCACGGCTGCGTTTGTGAGCAGAAGAACAGTTAGAAAAGCACATTTCTAATTCTGCCTTTTGTGTTCCCTTTTCCCCCACTGCATTTACTCTCTTAAAGCTAAGAAAAAACACTCACTTGTCTTTGCTGGATGATTCATTAATGCCCTGAGTGAAGAGGAGAAACAAATGAAGATTAGAAAGATCTGAGAGTAATGTAGGAGGACTGAAAAGAAGCATGTAAAGGCAGAAATCAGCTGAAGGAAGAGGAGAGAGAGGTCAGGCGAGTGTCTCAAATCTGTTCTGATGAAGAAACACACTCATCTACATCTTAAAGGGTGAGTAAATTGTCATTTTTTGGTTGAACGATTCCTTTAAATGGAGAGTTCACCTCAAAATAAACACCCTGCACATTTCTAATGCTTTTCTGCCATTTTTGGAGCTTGACAACACTGGTCATCATTTATTTTTATTGTACGGATTACAACACTCTGGATATTTGGCCAAAAAAAAAAAAAAAAGAGTCATACGTGTTTGGAACGACATGTGGGTGAGTAAATGATGACAGAATTGGTATTTTAAGTAACATTTGTGTCCATACAGTCTCTTTGGAAGAAATAAGATTGTTAGCTAAAGTGTTAGACACACTAATGTTGTGTGTGAAGCAATTTGGCAGCTCTGCATACCATATTGACAAAGGCAGAGATGAAGACGAGGATGATGGTGAAAACTCCCACCAGTGTGCTGTTGGTGCGAGACTGAACAATCTTCTTGGACACAGTCTGCATAGCAGCAGGGGGCTGCGTTTGTGAGCAGAAGAACAGTTAGAAAAGCACATTTCTAATTCTGCCTTTTGTGTTCCCTTTTCCCCCACTGCATTTACTCTCTTAAAGCTAAGAAAAAACACTCACTTGTCTTTGCTGGATGATTCATTAATGCCCTGAGTGAAGAGGAGAAACAAATGAAGATTAGAAAGATCTGAGAGTAATGTAGGAGGACTGAAAAGAAGCATGTAAAGGCAGAAATCAGCTGAAGGAAGAGGAGAGAGAGGTCAGGCGAGTGTCACAGGGAGTGGGTGACAGATTGACCGACAGGTCATGTGGGGTCTCACCATCTGTCTGAAGACTTTGGAGTCTTTAGTCCTGGAGAAGGATCTGTCAGGCACCCATCGCGGTACCAGACCCTCGTTAGAGTTCGTCCGCGTGCGCTGCATCTTAGCCATCATGGCCTTCTCCTCTTTCTGAGAGTCATACGTGTTTGGAACGACATGTGGGTGAGTAAATGATGACAGAATTGGTATTTTAAGTAACATTTGTGTCCATACAGTCTCTTTGGAAGAAATAAGATTGTTAGCTAAAGTGTTAGACACACTAATGTTGTGTGTGAAGCAATTTGGCAGCTCTGCATACCATATTGACAAAGGCAGAGATGAAGACGAGGATGATGGTGAAAACTCCCACCAGTGTGCTGTTGGTGCGAGACTGAACAATCTTCTTGGACACAGTCTGCATAGCAGCAGGGAAGAGCTGTGAGACAGAGGGGAAGAAAGCCCAATTGTACACGTTCTTACAAGAGAAGATGCAAGAGAATGAAAAACTGCATAAGCAGACCTCTTACCTTTACGCAGGAGTAAATGGCACAGATGAAAAGGATGTTGGCAAGAATGATGAAGATACTGATGTATATTCCCAGCATGACCAGAGTACTGCAAAACACAGAGGAGGTTTCAGATTCATGTTAAGTGTGTGAGTGTGTGCATCTGTGTACATACTTAGCCATATATTGGGGACAAATTTGTACAGATTTTGTACAGAAGTGAGCTAAACCTGACAAAACCTCCTTTTGAAGGGCGACAATACGTCCTCTTTTTTTTCGAACACACCTAATATAATTAAAGAAAGAATTAACCTAAAAGAATTTGCAGATTTCCTCTCAGACCTATTGGTTACTGTTGATAAAGCGCTAATTGTCTGAGCTTTTAACATTCACGTTGATAATACAAATGATGCATTAGGACTTGCGTTTACTGACCTAATAAACTCTTTTGGAGTCAAGCAAAACGTCACCGGGCCCACTCATCGTTTTAATCATACGCTAGATTTAATTATATCGCATGGAATTGATCTTACTGATATAGATATCGTACCTCAAAGCGATGATGTTACTGACCATTTCCTTGTATCGTGCATGCTGCGTATTACTAATATTAACTATATGGTCCCGTGTTATCGTCCGGGCAGAACTATTGTTCCAGCCACCAAAGACAGATTCACAAATAACCTGCCTGATGAGAAGGATCTGTCAGGCACCCATCGCGGTACCAGACCCTCGTTGGAGTTCGTCCGCGTGCGCTGCATCTTAGCCATCATGGCCTTCTCCTCTTTCTGAAACAGTCAAGGGCAAAGGAAAAGTTTTGTGCTCTTGAATAAAAGAGAAACATGTTGTTTCATATTATGCAAGATCATTAATATATGTCAAAATTGATAAAAAAAATTATTTAAAAAAACAAAGACTAAAATCCATTGTTTTAAACGTTACAAATGAATTTATGCATCACAAATCATAACATTATAATTTACAGTATAAAACTATATCAATTTAATTTGAGATTTTGTGATAAATACATTTTTTAAGAGCAGCACAGTAATTTTGACTTGGCTCATTAGATTTAAAGAAATTTTCTACCATTCTATCTATTTTTTGTTTTACCATAAAAGAAGGAAAAATCATTAACAAAAAGTTTTTTTTGCAGTGTAAAAAATCCCATTATACAAAAAAGATAAATAAATAAATAAATAAATAAATATATATAGTAAATATAGTATATACATATATATTAGGGATGGGAAGATTCCCCGATTCGCTCGGTGCATCGGCATAAAAAGTTAACGATGCGATGCATCGGTTTAGATTAAAGTCCAAAACCTGACTTGAATAACCTAACAAATCAATCGGGGCTAAAGCAGTTCCATTAACGACAAATTAAATTCACACAATCTCACTAATTTGTGCACGCTTATTCTTAATGCAAACACATACCAGCTTCATCACTGTCTGTCACGCGACTTTACATTTACATTTATTTTGAAAGATGAAGCTTGCGATTATGGTAAGGGGCGTTACATTTCCGACAAGTGCTTGCAGTGTTCGGCCAATCACAATGCACTGGGTCAGCTGACTGCACTTGTCGGAAGGAGGGACTTTGTCGAAAACGAAGCGTTTGAGAGAGGCGGGGCATAGAGGACCTACAATAATGTACAGTATTTGAAAAATAATGTGTTTTTTGAACATTAAAGCATGTCAACATATTCTGTTACACCAAATACACAAAATAATGATCTTTAAAAAAGCATCATATGACCCCTTTAATGCATTTGAGACGTTGTGTTTTCCTCAGTGCATAACTGACATGTCACAAGTATATATTTCATCTGTAAATGTTAGAAAGTCAAGCAAACATATCCATTTTGCTGTCAGGAGTGGGCGAGGCACGCGAGAGCAATGAGCGCAGCTGCACGCATGCACGCTAAACAGAAGGAGCGTAATAATTCTGAGTAAAATATACATTTTGCTAAAAAATTAGTTTTTGGACATTAAATGTGTCTTTTGTAGAATTTTAAACCTACATATAAAGTGTATTTTTATGATAGCAGTAACTGTAAGTGGACTATTTGTAATAAGTAAATCAAATGTAAGCTAGTAGGCTACAGTACTAATTACTAAGCTCAAATGTGTTAATGTGTTTCTTATAGCAGTTAAAATGTAGTCATTTTCTTTTATTATTTATTTTCATTTTTAATTCAGTGATTTTAAATTCTAATTTAGTTATTTTAATGCTTTAAAGAGCAATTTTAGATTGTAATGGTCTAATGTTTTGCTATCTGTTCTGCAAACTATAAAATGTACAGCTGTAATACAACCAGCGAGAAAGGCTGCATTGCTAGAAACTGTAAAAAAAAATAAAAAAGTCAAATAATAGCATGTGATAATAATAGTAATAGTAGTAGTATAAACTGAGACAGTGGTAATATCATTATGTTCCTATTGGTCAGTAGAGGAGCTTAGCTTAGCCTGACAGTTAGCCTGCTTTAGACCAGGTTAGTTTCCCAGCATAAGTTGCCACAGTGACTAGCTTGATCTAGGCCTATGCTAAATTTGCTTTATGGAACCAACTAACTGAAATAAGCCTGGCTTATTTGGTTAACTTGTTTTATGAAACAGGCCTCAAGGCATTAAAACTGATCATATTTTCTCCATTGCATCATATTGCATCGAATCGCATCGTGTTGAATCTAATCGAATCAAATCGGAATCGGATCGCACTGCATCGTAATAGGGGTGAATCGTATCGCATCGCATCGGTAGCTGCTTCATATGTATCTTTAATGTATCGTATCGTTGGCTATGCATCGAGATGCATATCGTATCGGCCTGAGTCATGAGATGCACATCCCTAATATATATATATATATATATATATATATATTTATAGCAGAGATGTTGCTTGTTGGTGACATTTGAAGATGGTAAAGGTTATAGCACAATCATCTTAAAAATTTTGTAGCATGAACTCAGCACAAAATGACGTGTCTAACCCGCTTTTGACTGCAGCCCAACACTAGGAAGGTCTCAATGCTGTTCTCTTTCAAATAGGCATTCCTCTCCCCTCCAAAACCTGGCTCCACCTCATAGTCTCCATTCAGGTACTGCAGAGTAGCTTTAGTGATATGGATCCTCCTGAGGAATAAAATCAGGTTCAGCTGTGTTAACAATGTTAATGTTAGTCTGCCCAGTGCTATGTGTAGCTGTGTTTACATGTCTGACTCTCACCCGGCTTTGCCTCCAGCCTCCATGTGGTTGGCCAGTGTGACGTCGTTGGACCACACGTCGAATTGCCACTTTCTCAATCCAAGAACTCCACAGTGCACGCGACCACTGTGGATACCGACCCGCATGTTTACATTGACCCCTGTGACCTCTCGCACCAATCTGACACAAACACAAACATGTTATTAATAAATCACAAGCTGCAATCAGTGTTATTTTAGTATTATTTTTACATACTAGTAGTCCATATTAGCAGTTTTTGATTTTACATTTGGTTTGTTTTAGTCATTTAATTAGGGGTTCAAGCGCATAGCACTGAAACCCTATTGTAATTTTTAGAATGGTCACGGATGAGCGATTTCCACGTAAAACTGATTATGCAGACCAAACCATAAGTCGTAGAGACTTGAAACTTGGAGGGATAGTAGTACTCACACTGCCTACAACGTGACCGAGGCTCACCCCAATCGGCCTGATGGGGGCGCTACAGCGATCAAAAGTACGAAATCGCTCCTAAACCGTCAGTCGCAGGCTCAAGTGTCTTATGTTGTTGGAATCCTTGGCTCATGCCGGACAAACCGCATGCCCCAGATTCGATCGTGAGCCTGGCAAAATTTTCGGGTATTTCGCTTTTTTTGAAAAACCTACTTTTGCGAACTACTCCTAGGTTTTTCGCCCGATCGGAACCAAACCAATGCAGAAAGATTCTCTGGAGAGTGAATTTCAATAATTATCAAAAAAAGGTGAACTTTCGACTCCAGGGACGCCAAAATGTTCGAAGGGGGCAGGGCCACTTTTAGTAAAATGCCTGTAACTCCTGAACGGAATGAGATATCTTCGCCAAACTTGGAACACTTATGTATGAGCTCAAGCTGAGGTCACAGGGAAAAATCGCGGAGATTTGCCACTTGGTGGTGCTGTAAGAGGGAAAAAATGGCTAAAAATAGGCAACCATTTGTCCTATCAACATGAAAATAACTGTGCACGGTCTTGGTCCAAAGTGCCACAAGTGTCTATGGGGACATTTGCGTATCTCAAAAAAACAAACGAAATTTTAGCACCTATTAGACAAGGCTAACAGAGGCCGATCGGAACGAAACTCGGTGGGCCTGTTTGACTCACGGCCCCAATGGTCAGTGAGAAATTTGAAAGAAATCAGCCCCTGGGGGGCGGTATTGCATTTTTTGAGGGCGTAAACGATTGTACATTGCACGGTTTTCCGCACATACACGTGATATTCATATTGTATGATAGATCTCTTCGTTCTGAACAACTTTGCCTCTAGAACCACTGCTGGCAATCAAACCATTTTTTAAAGGATTGAGAAGATGTGAAAAACCTACTTTTGCGAACTAGTCCTAGGTTTTTCGCTCAATCTGGAAAAAACCACCGCAGTGCAATTCTCTGGACTCTCTAGGTCAATAATTATCAAAAACATGTCTAAATGTACCCTTTGGGAAGCTATAACGGGGTCCTTTAGAAAAGGGGCCTATCCAAATATACCCAAAAGCCTATAAAGTCTCAACGAAAACTCAACTTCACAAAACCCGCTGAGCACATGCAACAGGTGATTCTAAACAAGCATGCAAAGTTTCAGGGAGATCGGACCACAGCTGGCACTATAACAGTCATAAACGTTATAAAAACATCATATTTCTATGGTAAATCACCTGGATTTGACAAAAATGCTTTTTTAATAATTGATTTAGGTGGTTAGAGGCTTGCTAAATAATATGTAATGTCTTTTTCCTTGTGTGCTTAAATACCTAAAGAGCTGGAACCCCAGTAATCGCTGCTTACAGCTATATTTTTATGTGCTTTTGTTATTTTTATTTTTATTTATTTTATTTTAAATTAAATTTTATTTTTATTTTAGAAATTTTAGTACTTCAACTTATTTCACTTATTTTTTAGTTATTTCAGTTAGTTGGCTGACGCAGAATTTCTCATATTTGTTTAAGTTTTGTTTAAGTTTATTATCTAATATTAATATTTTAGTTTTGCTTTATTTCAATTGACATACATTGAAATAACAATAACAACACTGGCTGCAATATATATCTATAAATTTGCATCTAATTCGTGGAATGAATTATAAATAGTTATTATTAAACAATAACTATTATAAAATAATATGAATAATTACATTAAATAATAAAAACACCTGGTCATTTTCCCCAACTGTCGGGGTCTCACTAACTTTAATATAAAAATAATATTGGTTACCATACAAATCTGTATACATTTTGTTTACAAATCCCTTATAAACAAATAGACAAAAAACATTTAATATCCAACATTAAATTCACAGATCACTATCAAAAATGAGATAATTTAACCTCACAACTGTTCATATGAAATAAATCTCACAAGGTTGATGTTCCGAAGAACTGACAACTAAGAGAGACTTACGAAATGGCTTCAATCATGTCCACCCCCATTTCCACGCAGCAGTGAGCGTGGTCCGCTCTGGGCTCAGGTAACCCTGACACGCAGTAGTAACAATCCCCCAGGATCTTGATCCGTAAGCAGTGGTTCTCCTGCACACACACACACACAAAAGGGAACAGAAGTTAATTAGAAAGTTCAAGCTGGGGAGATGGCAGCTTCACGCTGAGGTGTAAATGACAAAAATGCTTTTTTAATAATTGATTTAGGTGGTTAGAGGCTTGCTAAATAATATGTAATGTCTTTTTCCTTGTGTGCTTAAATACCTAAAGAGCTGGAACCCCAGTAATCGCTGCTTACAGCTATATTTTTATGTGCTTTTGTTATTTTTATTTTTATTTATTTTATTTTAAATTAAATTTTATTTTTATTTTAGAAATTTTAGTACTTCAACTTATTTCACTTATTTTTTAGTTATTTCAGTTAGTTGGCTGACGCAGAATTTCTCATATTTGTTTAAGTTTTGTTTAAGTTTATTATCTAATATTAATATTTTAGTTTTGCTTTATTTCAATTGACATACATTGAAATAACAATAACAACACTGGCTGCAATATATATCTATAAATTTGCATCTAATTCGTGGAATGAATTATAAATAGTTATTATTAAACAATAACTATTATAAAATAATATGAATAATTACATTAAATAATAAAAACACCTGGTCATTTTCCCCAACTGTCGGGGTCTCACTAACTTTAATATAAAAATAATATTGGTTACCATACAAATCTGTATACATTTTGTTTACAAATCCCTTATAAACAAATAGACAAAAAACATTTAATATCCAACATTAAATTCACAGATCACTATCAAAAATGAGATAATTTAACCTCACAACTGTTCATATGAAATAAATCTCACAAGGTTGATGTTCCGAAGAACTGACAACTAAGAGAGACTTACGAAATGGCTTCAATCATGTCCACCCCCATTTCCACGCAGCAGTGAGCGTGGTCCGCTCTGGGCTCAGGTAACCCTGACACGCAGTAGTAACAATCCCCCAGGATCTTGATCCGTAAGCAGTGGTTCTCCTGCACACACACACACACAAAAGGGAACAGAAGTTAATTAGAAAGTTCAAGCTGGGGAGATGGCAGCTTCACGCTGAGGTGTAAAAAGAGGGTAGTCATTCTGCTTAGTGTGTGATACAGACAGAGTGTGTGATTTTTGTGTGTGCATGTGACACCATGTGTAAACGTGTCAATACTGATAAAACTTCAGTGAGAGAACAAACAGAAACCTTTGACAATGGATTTGACAAAGGACATACCTTTCAGCGAGTAATAGGTCTTAAGAGAAGTCAAAGCAGAGCAACTCTTATTCATCTCGAATGAATAAGTGTTTTTAAAATAATCAGCAAATGATTCATTGATTGGAGGAATGCTACATTAGAAATGCTGCTGTCATTCATCATTTCGTCCAGCACCCATCAGGACTCCCATCAGAAAGTACAAAATGAAACCAATTATTGAAGTATTTTATATATATGAAAACTACAGTTCAAAATTTGAGGTCAGTAAAAATTTTAATGTTTCTTTTTAAAATAAGTATCTAATGCTCACCAAGGCTGCATTTATTTGATTAAAAATACAGTAATATTGTGAAATATTATTGCAATTTAAAATAACTCTTTCCTACTGTAATATATAGTAAATTGTAATTTATTCCTGATGTAAACCTGAATTTTCAGCATTACTTCAGTCTTCAGTGTCACATGATCCTTCAGAAATCATTCTAATATGCTGATTTGCTACTCAAGAAATATTTCTTATTATCAATGTTGAAAACTGTTCTGCTGCCTAATATATTTGTGGAAACCATGGTACTTTTTTTCAGGATTCTTTGATGAAAATCCAGTATTTACTAAATGTAGTCATGTTCACAAAACAGTAGTGTATTTTGTATTTTCTATCATTTAAAAAAGTGTATTATATTTAAACGAAAACGTGAAAACTGTATGCGTAATGTTGAACTAATTACTAGCAATCTCAACAATTTATTAAATATAGACTTCATGTTGTCACTATAGAGCAATTTGGAGTAGACGTCACAGTTACATCACTTGCAGCTGCGCGTGCATTGTGGTGGCAGAAAAACACTGGGAACAAGTGGAGGGAAACGAATAAAATCCATGGAATAAGAGAAAAATGTATTGTTGTGCTTTTGGATGTCAGAATCAGAATGCAAATAATTTTTATATAATACTGTCGTCAAAGACACAATTTGAAGCTAAACGCAGATGTTTAAATGGACAGACTATGGATGAAACCTACTATGATTACCCTACTTTTAAAACATAAATTTGATTTAAACAATAGGTCTATATAATATTCATATAGGGGACATATGGTATTGTATTAGCCCTACAGTTGAAATACATGCATGCAATATTATTTAAACCTGTAACATTTTACATAACATTTACCTATTTTATCTCACAATTCTGACTTTTTTTCTTGCAAATGCAAGTTTATATCTCCTAGTTCGGACTTCATAACTTGATTCAACTCAACAACTGCGAGTTTGTCAATTCTGAGGAAAAAAAGCCAGAAGTGTGGGATTATACACTAAAAAGAATGACGAGTTGATTTTTCTTACCAGAATAGTGAGATATAATCTCAAAATTGCGTGAAAAAAAGTCAGAATTTTGAAATATAAACTCAAAATTACACTTTTTATTCTTTTAGTCCATGGCTTGAATAGACTGCTACGTTAAAACTGTCATTTTCTGCCACCAGATAGGCTCCGCCCACAAAAATCATCATCACTGTTCGCAAACACTGAAATTGGTCTATTGTAAACAGACAATGCTGCATCAACGATCCAGTTGAGAAACATCTTTTAGGCATGTGTTAATAGATGTGCTCACCGAAGCCAGCTTGTCAAAGCGGGCAAACAGCTCGTTTAGAGTCATAACCAGCTCCTGAGCCGTGCACTGCGACGCCAGACTAGTGAAACCCTCGATGTCTGCAAACAAAATACTGACAAAGACAGAGCGAAAGAGATTTAAACTGGATGAATTGTTGCTTTGTCTTTTACAACATAAAAGTCTATTGTTAACTAAAATGTTCCTGCATTGATTAAATGCTTTGGTAATATTTCACAGGAAACAGTCATGCCAATAAAACACAATGAATTTGTTGTGTTTTATTGATAAAACATAACTGTAGGTAGAAAAGTATACAGTATGAGTGTGTGAATCCCTTGAGCTGAGGGGAAATTCACTCTGAGGCTGTGTGAGAACAGGCGCTATGGAGCACTTTAATTGAATCGTGGCTTCATTTCAGTATCTTCTGGGGTTAGCGCTAGTCTAGTGACTGATAATTAACTATTCCCTCTCTCGCCATAATTAGCTGACCACATTTCATAAGAAAAGCCCCACTGTTTCTATTACGAGCTTCCAGAGCTAAAGCAAAGAAGAAATGGGTAAAAGAGACGGGAAAGAAGAACGGAAAGAGTAAAAATAAACAAAGAAAGAGTCACACGGCCACAAGAGATGATAAAAAGCAGGTGAGCAACTTTAGCTAAAAGCTAATGCTAATAGTCAAAGGGTCGTCAAGATGTAAATGCACTTCAACAAAATAATGAGAAAAAAATATTGAGACAAATTGTTATTCTATAGGGAGTTTACTGATGAATTAAATGTTAACCTAAAGAAAAACATATGCTTGTTTTCATAGTCTCACCCGAAAATATAATGAGTTTCTCCACCTCTGAAACAACTTGTCTGTTTTGCTGATGTTAACTACCTCATGAGGCCATGAGGGTGGGAAACATAATATAAACCAATAATATCCTAAATTTTCTTAGATCACTTGATTAAATCGCTTTTCACAATCTAATCAAATCCAGTCCTGGTTAAATGTGGCACAGTTTGACCCATAACAGTAATGCTCACCTGACATTGTCGTGCTTCTGGATGTAGATCTTGTGAAACATCATGTCTTCTTTTTTAGCATTGATGTCAGCCTTCATTTCCATGGCGACATGCCTTGGCAAAACTGACAGCAACAGGCGTTCCTGAAAATTGTTGAGAGGAGAGAAGAGAGGGAATGTGTGTGAGAGAGAAAGAAAGATTGCCATGCAATTCTTCTCACTGAAGATCAAATATCCTTTCTTTATGTAGTTGTTCTTTGCCTGTCAAACAGCAGCATCCCAGTGCTGGGCCTGGGCGATAAAACGGTATCGATATTTATCGACGGTACACCTTCTTCGATATCGATAGAAAAAATGTTCGATATAGCGCACGATATAGGCACGTGCTATGAGTGACGCAGACAGCACACACAAACACGAACACATGCTGAAATGAGTGCTGTGCCTGCCTGTGATGAGGAGATTGTGAATAAAGAATGAATATTAGTCGAATTTAAAATAAACATTTGCATTTGAATGTTAGGTGTGCGTCAGGGAGCGTCATAATGATGTGAGTGACATGTTGCATTTTAATGTTTTGTTAGTCTAGCCCACGAGACGCGCCGCTGCTGTGTTATGCATTCAACATATTAGAGAAATATAGAAGCTCAATGCGGAGAAGATCTTGAATGGGTTAAAACC